CCCCCCTTTCTTCCCCCAACAGTGTGAGCCTCTGATGGGCTTTGGGTTCCGACGGGGAGGCTACCAGTGCGTGTGTCTGCCAGGCTACTACTACCCCTGGTGGCACGATGGACCCTTCCTGGGCATGGAGATGGAACAGGCCACTCGCGAGGAGTGGGAGGTCGGCTTTGACTGTCTGACCGTGCAGGGTGAGTTGTGGTGAGGGGTGGTGGTGGGGGTGGTGAGGGGTGAGGGTAGTGAGGGGTGAGGATGGCGATGAGTAGTGAGGCGTCGTTGAGGGGGTGGTGAGGAGTGGGAGGTTGGCTTTGACTGTCTCACAGACAGGGGCAGTGTCACTGACTGAAGTGTCTCTTGGCCCTTCCCAAAGGGGGGACATTTCTCTCGTTCTTATGCACAGTAGAATTGTAAATGGGCTGATTCATCAATGTCATGCTCATAACTGTGCCTGAACTACAACAGGGAATTGCTGCTTTTTCTTTCCTAATCCTTACTATCTTCATTTTTACTCTACTTCCTTTGTAGGTTTGTCACACTCTTGTGACCCGCTATTTCCAGGGTGCCTTGATAGTCGAAGCAGACTTTGTGCTGTTGAAGCTAGAGAGGTGAGCAGAGAAAGTGTGATTCCCTGTAAGGACTTCTCTGTTGGCATCCACCCCTTGGCGCTCTTATGACCTTTTGCTAAAACAAAACTGTCTCACAGTGCAGGGTGACTTGTTGGGAGGGGTGGTGAGGAGTGGGAGGGGTGGTGAGGAGTGGGAGGGGTGGGAGGTTGGCTTTGATTGTCTGACTGTGCAGGGTGAGTTGTAGGGAGGGGTGGTTGAGAGTGGGAGTGTGAGGGGTAGGGGTTCAAGTTCAAGGCTTTCGGAGTGTCTTTTTTTCTTTTATCCTTTGTGGTCTTGCTTTTTTTCAAACAAACAAAAGCTATGAAATGTGCAGTGGACTGTAATCCTTGTATATATCGACATTGCCTGTAGTGTGATTACAGTGATAACATATAATATGCATTTATAATACTGTCTCCCGTGACACCCAAAAGAGTATAAGCGGCGAATAAAAGTGAAAGTAAAATCTGTAGATGCTCTTTTCTCTTCTTCAGTTACTTTTTCTGCCACTTGATTGATGCTTGTAATGTTGGGTTATTTGATAATCTAGCGCTGAAATGGTTATGACAGTTGACCTAGTGGGTGGTTGGAGGGTGCTATTGTGTGGTTTGCTCCTCCTTTCTCATAAAAAAAATCTGTCATCTTTATCTCCCCTCCTTTTTTTGTGTGTTTCTTACTCCCTTGTAACACCTCTGATCTTCGGCACTTATATGACCTTATTGTGTTGCAAGTGCCGTAAAACTTACTAAAGCAAGGCTGTGACAGTTGCCTTATTTCTTTCTCTGTGTTTGTTTGAACAGATCGTGTGGTCATCCCGACACAAATGCCCTCGTTCGTACGTCGCAGGCGGTCAGTGGCCAGCTCCAAGGATCGCTTCCTGTCCGAAATCTCGTCCTTGACCCAGAGTCCGCGGCTGACCACCCGAATGAAGCGCTCGTTGATACCACGCATCAAAGCTATCAGGGATGAGGTGAAGCGACAGAAAAGAGACGAAGAAGCGGCCAGTCCTAAGGTCACTATCAAGAAGCGTTACGCAGCGAAACACAAGGTGAGAGCCGTACCTGATTAGGTCACTCGGTAATTGTCCTTTTTGTGTCAATGCAGGAGTGTGTTTGTGTGTGTTTAGAGAAAAAAAAAGGAGGGTGGAGGAGGAGGGGGAGAAAGAAAATGGAGGATTTCTATTAATGATATTGATGTACTTTGTCTTTCTGCGTGTGGCTAATGGCAAACTGTATGAAGACTGTGTGTGGCTAATGACAAACTGTATGAAGACTGTGTGTGGCTAATGACAAACTGTATGAAGACTGTGTGTGGCTTATGACAAAGTGTATGAAAACTGTGTGGCTAATGACAAACTGTATGAAGACTGTGTGTGGCCTGTTGTCATATCTCGGGTTCCACTTCCTCCGTCACTCACCAGCGCTGTGTACTTCGTGGGTGGTTGGCGGGTGCTCTGGTATGGTTTTCCTTCTTTCCTATCAAACTTCTATCGTCCTTATCTCCCCGTGGGCGGTTGGCGGGTGCTCTGGTGTGGTCTGCTCCTTCTTTCCTATCAAACATCTGTCGTCCTTATCTCCCCTCCTTCTTTTTTATGTTTGTTACTCTCTTGTAACTCCTCTAATCTTCTGGCTCTCATATGACCTTATGCAGTTGCGAGCGCCGTAAAACCTCTACTAAAACTAAAACTAAGCGCTGTGTACCTCTCAGGTACCAGCGTCCACTGCCCACAAGCGGCGTAAACGTGAGGCCGTAGACGAGCAGTCGGTCAACCGTATGCTGAAGATTCTGGAGCGCTTCCAGAAGACGACGGCCGAGAACTGCGAGGAGAAGAAGGCTTATGAGCTCTTCCTACCTGGGGACGCCGCCTACGGGGTCAAGTGGCAGTTTGAGGGTCAAGGTCGCACAGCTTTGAGACTGGCTCACTTTTTGTCCAACTTCCTGCAGAATGTGGACGAGTATGAGGTGAGTTTTACTGTTGGTATTGGTCCTTGTCAATGGAGAAAAAAATAACATGTGGGTATCTTTTGTGTTGAGAAAAATAAATATATATGTGGCATCATGGTGAAATCAGGCACTTGTCAACATAATATTGAAAATATATCCGCCTTTTTCCGCCGGTTTGGCTATTTTTATCGAATTTTTGTCTTTCGGCTCACAACTTTCATGTCTATTGTATATCACATTTCTATGCGGATTTTACTGGAAAATGTTGATTAAAAGCTCAAAAATAAAAGTGTACATTTTCAGTTTCCAAGGGCTCTTAAGCTATTGAAGTCACCAAAATTAAAGGTTGTTAATATGTCTATCTTTCTATGAAACAAACCCCACCCACCTATCTTGAAGAAAAGTCAAGTTGCTGGTGATTGAAGGAGTTGGAGGTCGCCTGATTTCAGAGACAAAATTAGCGAGGAAATAGCTGCTAAAGTTTGGGGACTTCCAAATCTTAAGAGCCCTTGAAAAGTGAATAGATACATTTTTTTTGTTTCTGTCGGTCTGTTTTACTATTTTTCCTGCAATGAATGACTGTTATTGTGTCAATGTACTTTACTTATTCAAACAATCAAAAGCAGGCTGTTGATGGATGCTCTGGTGTGATTTTGCTCTTTCTCTCCTATCAAACATCTATCATCCTGATCTCTCCTCCTTCTTTTTTGTGTTTCTTACTCTCTTGTAACACCTCTGATCTTCGGCACTTAAATGACCGAACTGTGCTGAGATTGCCGTAAAACTCTTATTAAAACTAAAAAAACCCTTTCAAACAAGTGTGACATTAATTGTTACCTGCACAAATTGCCTTTTTCTCGTGTACTGAACTTGCCCAATCTGCCTTCCTAGGAATTTGGAAACCTGAGAGGAGATCGTCGCTTGAACGAGACCCAGATCTTTTCCGAGGTGCTAGCCAATGTGATGGCGGACTGGAAGATTGTGGGAGCGGGCGTGTTCTTTGACCGCTACAAGTTCCGCATGTCCCCGCCCGTCAACAACACAGACCCGCGGTTTGTCAATGGGATCACCCGCGAGTTCTTCGGGCCCTACGCCTGGAGGATCAAGGCGACGGGCGTGGGCAGCGTGGGAGGGGCGGACTACTTCCGGGCCATGGACTTTGCGGGCCTGAAGCATTACTACACGGACGAGCCCTGGTTCCGCAGCATGAAGGCCAGATGGGGGACCAACTTTGTCAACTTGAAGAAGTTCACGGCCAAGCCACTCATCAGGTAATAAATCACGTAGGGCTGCTGGTTTTTCTAGTAATCATTCTTAATATTCAGGGAGGCCGTTTTTCAGTTTTTCCCCCCTTTTATTTCAATTTTCACTTAATGAATAGTTATTCTCATACTCAGGGGGACTATTGTTTCATTTTTTCCCTGTTTTTTCAACAATTATTTTTACTAGACGAATAGTTATTCTCATACTCAAGGAGGCTATTTTTTCTGGGTTTTTTCCTGTTTTGTCCATTATTTGCATTAGAAGAACAGTTATCATTCTTAGTGTTTGATTTCTGTTTAACCCCATTTTTGTTGTATATTAACTGTCTTTTTGTTTGCATATGCAACTGGGTAAAAATCTTAGTGGCACCGCGAGTGACTGTTGGCAATAGATGCGTATTTGTGGTATTAGCCTCTTTCACTTTGATGACTTAGTCCATGGAAAGAATGACTTTTTGAATGCGGGTGGTTGGCAGATGCAAATATCAATGGCCCTTATCTGTCCTCCTCCATAGCTTTGATTTTTACTCTATAGTAACACCTCGGATCTTTGGCCCTTATATACGACCTCTTATGCAATTGCGAGTGCCGTAAAATTCCTAATAAAAAAACCTTATATGACCTATTTGTATTACATGTACTCTTACGAGAGGAAAAGTTTTGGAATGCGTCTTGCTGTGTACCCACAGATCTGATCTCAATGGTACCAGCCTGGTGCGGTTTGAATACTACCCGTACACGTACAAGGCCGCTCAGTACGAGGATGGAGAGTGGCTGCGCCCGCAGTTCCGATGTGACAGCCGGCTGGACTCGTGGGTGGTCACCTACCAGGCGCCATTCTTCGGCCTTGACGACATCAAAGAGAGGATTGAGTTCAAGTAAGAGCGGGCGGAATCTTCCCCCGTGTTGTGTCTGCCGGTCTGTCTTTCCTCTACTCCGAGTGACTTTTGGACTTTTATTGTGTTGATGTGCTTCTGTTTATTCAAACGAACAAACTAAGAGCACTTTACAAATTCTTTTATATTTATTCAGTAATGATTTGGATATTTGCGAATCTGAGGCAAAGAGTGTGGCAAGTGCCGTAAAACTTTAACTAAAACTGAATCTTCTGTCATTTGGTTTGTTTGTTCTTCATTGTTGCAAATTTGAAAAACCTGATTTCCTTTCTCGTGGTTTCTTCCAACTTAAACGTTGCGAGATCACTGACGATTTTCTTCCCGCTTGCTGTCCACAGAGGAGTGGTGACGGTCGACGTTGACCTCAACGAGATGGGCATCAACCAGTGCCCGGGAGACTTCCCCACCGCCAACGCCTTCAAGAACACAGCCAGATGCGACTACGAGACACAATTTGTGAGTTTCAAACTTTTTGGCGGAAGTAGATAACAATAATTTTGAGGCAGCGTGGTGGAATCAGGCTCTCGTCAATTTTGGGGCAAAAGCATCTTAAAGCTTATTCATTTGTCTTTATTTGGGGGAAAAAAATATCCATTTATCTTGAATACAAGTCAAGATATTTGCGAAAGAAGGAGGTGGGGGTCACCTGTTTTCAGAGGTAAATTCAGTGAGAAAATGGCCGCCAAAGATTAGTTATTTCCTCAGCTTAAGAGTCCGTGGTAACTGAAAATTTACATTTTTGTGCCTTTAATCAAAGCTTTTCAGAAAAATCCACACACAAATGAGTTCTTTAATGGGCATGAAAGGTTTTGAGCCAAAAAACAAAAATTTGATAACAATTCACAAACCTGCGGAAAAATGCAAGTTTCTCCACTTTGATTATTTTGACGAGAGCCTGGTTCCACCACACTGCCTCACATATGTGTTTTAGGAGGGAGGCATTGATTGTCATGAAAATGTATACATACCCTCATTCTTACTGCCATGCCAACATGCATGTACACATACATACTCACACACATACACACAGGCACATACTCCCACTCACCCCCATACTTGTATTAAACCTTCATGATTCTGTGGTTCTTTTCTTTTACTTTTTTTTTTCTACGTAAAAATGACTGCAAAGATTCATCTACTGGGATAAGACAATTTTTTATAGCTGTTGTGGGGCTCGTATTGTCTGGCAGAGGGGGGAGTTTCCCGATGTTGGAGAAGTTTACTGTGGTGCTGTTTTTTTAATGTACACGTGTACATGTAATCCTCCAATTTTATAAGGCGAACGTTTCGTATCCCTTTTTTAAAGTGTTGCTGTAGCATTTTTTACCCTGTCTGGTAGTCCATGCATATATCTAATATTCTGACACTAATTAGATAATTCCAAACTTATTCCTCTAGAGTGGTAGGCTTGAAAACTTGTGTGTGATGACACTGCGTTTTCAAAACAAAGTGCAAGTAATCATAGGGCTCATGCTTGATGAATAACAAACATACCCCCCCCCCCCCACACACACACACACACACACACATGCGCACACGCACACACACACGCTATTACCCAATCCCAGTACTGTACTTTGGTCATAGCCCTTCTCTGGAAAAAACTTTTTTTTTTGAGAGAGGTTTTCTTATCCTGTTACTTTGAGAGTGTTTTCGTAAAGAGGCATAGAGTGTATTTCTAGAGATTTGAGAGAGAGCATGTTTAGTCGTTTATGCAGCTATCTCAAGAACATTCTTGAACTTATGTTGTTGTTGTTAGCCATCCAGCCATTCTTGAACTGATCAGAGAGCTAAAATTTCCTTTTCGAAAGCCTGTTGCAGTCTTGAACTGAAGCTGTTTTTTTTGTTCTGTCTGGTTCATCGTGGGAAAAGGTCAGGGTCACCCTCTTCCAGCCTCATTATGTTCAGTTAGGGAATATTTGACTTTGGGCACAAAAACGTCTGCCCCAGCCACCGCCCGAGTGTCTCTGATCACTGAGCTCTCATGCCATAGCCCGCTGCGTCAAAGTGAGACGACGTGTGAAAGTTTTCTTGACATCTACGGGAGCCAAGCCCCGTTTGTGTCCAATTTGTGGAATTCTGCGACCCCGGCTGGCTCCGCCTCCTGTCAGTTTTCCGTCCGCGTGGTTGCACGTCTGCTCCACAAGGACACGACCTTTGACACTAATTGTTCTCCTCGAGACGCGGCTCTTTCAGAGCTTTAGCGATAGAATTATGTTCTTGTGGGCACAATTTAGTGTTTTTGCAGCCAAGAGGCTGGTGTTTAGTTGTCTTCAGACTTGTAGGAGTGGGTGCATCAGTTGCTCTCTGGGGCTTTGTGGTGACTCCCACTTTATCCAGATTTTTTGAACTGAGAAAATTGAGGAAACTACATTCCCAGAACTGTGCAGATGTAAAAGAAGAAAGATTTCTACCTCTGTGGATGTGGTTTTAATCTTTATTTTTTTGTTGTTGTTTCATAGAAAATAATTTTTTTCAGTTTTTGAAGTTTTAGTAGAGTTTTTTATGGCGCTCCCAACTGCATTAGGTCATATGAACGCCAAGAAAATAAGTTTGTGGGGTAGTTCAAGGAGCAGGGATACACACAGAAGGCATGGCGCTCATATGACCTTAGGCAGTTGCTGTTGCGAGCGCCGTAAAACCTCTACTTAAACTAAAACACAGAAGGCATGACTCATTCTTTTTCAATAGGTGTGTTTTCAATTTAGGTTTAGACATCGCATGTTAGCAGCCCTATAATTATTTGATTCTGTTGACTGTTTCTTATGTCATTGGTACTGTAGCTGCCAAGGTTTCTCTTTGCTCCTTGATGCTATGTAGCAAGTGCATATCTATTTCAGTAGCTCAGGACAGGGATTTTTAGTGTTTATCTCTCTGCTTTGCCAAAGACTGTCTTTTGGCGCTCATATGACCTTATGCAGTTGCGAGTGCCGTAAAACCTCTACTAAAACTAAACTAAGACTGTCTTGGGCCGGTGTCATTGAGCAGGCATGGCATTGAACTTGTCATTGGAACTGAGCTAGTCAATTTTTAATGGAAGACAGAGGTCGATCAGTCTCGTTTTTCTCGATGGAGTGGATGGTTGAGTGGAGTATGGGTGGTTGGCGGGTGCTCTGGTGTGGTTCACTTCTTCTTTCCCATCAAACATCTATTGTCCTTATCTCTCCTTCTTCTTTTTTATGTTTGTTACTCTCTTGTAGCACCTCTAATCTTCTGGCGCTCATGTGGCCTTATGCAGTTGCGAGTGCCGTAAAACCTCTACTAAAACAAACGAGGCCTGGCTTTAAACTTGTCATTGGAACTGAGGTAGTCAGGTTTTAATGGAAGACAGGGGTCGATTAGTCTCATCGTTTTTCTCGACGGAGTGGGTGGTTGAGTGGAGTGTGGGTTATTGGCAGGTGCTCCTATCAAACTACTATCGTCTTTATCTCTCCTCCTTCTTTTTTGTTTGTTACTCTCTTTTAACATCTCTAATCTTTGGCACTTATATGACCTTATTGTGTTGCCAGTGCCGTAAAACTCTTACTAAAACTAATGAAATGAGTGGAGTGGCAGCTTCTGGCAAGTTGTGGCAGCAGTATTTCTCTTAAAGCAAATGCAGGGAATACTGTTTTTGAATAGGTCAGTCGGAATTGTTCAAGATGGCCGCGGTTTGTCGAGGTGAAAAGTGGTTTTTTATCATGTTGTGTTTGCACAGTTTTGGCTTCTGATGTGTGCAGGCTGGCGTTTTGTGTTTGGTCCTCATGACATGTGGATTGATTTCTTGTAGATACGGTAAGATAAGATACATCTTCATTGTCCCGATCCTGGCCCATTGGTCATTGGTTTGTAGTAGAGTCAAGAGTGTTGCGAGCGCCGTAACACCCCGTACTAAACAAACAAGAGTCAAGAGTTGTTTCCTTGTGATGTGCTGAAGTGGATTCGTTTTGTTCCTAGACCTGTAGGGGTGTTTGAATTGAGCTGGTCTGTTGGGGCTACTCAATGAAGTTAATTGTGAATTTCTGGTAGTTGTGTTTTTTGGTTTTGTCTTTATATGGAGTTCGGGGTCACAGGCTGTTTTTTTGTTTTTGTTCAAAACAATTTTTTGTACCTTACGTATATTTTTTTAGCTTTGTCCTCCCTAAAAGGTTTGCGTGGGTGGTTGGCGGGAGCTCTGGTGCGGTTTGCCTCTTCTTTCCTATCAAACATCTTTCATCCAGATCTGTCCTTTTTCTTTTATGTTTGTTACTCTCTTGTAACACCTCTAATCTTCAGCACTTTATGACCTTATGCAGTTGCGAGCGCTGTTATACCTCTACTTTAAAAAAAATCTCCTCTTTCTTTTTTTTTGTTTGTTACTCTCTTGTAAATACCTCTAATCTCCGGCACTTATATGACCTTATCACATCGGGTCATCTGTCATTTTACGACTTAGCCCTCATCACATCGGGTCATCTGTCATTGTACGACTTAACCCTCATCACATCGGGTCATCTGTCATTGTACGACTTAGACCTCTTCCTGAGACCGGCTCAGCATGTGAGGAAGAATTTCTGCCTGTCTCTGTGCTTGGCACTGGCGGAATAGTCACGCGCTGACACAGTGATTGTTTCCTGGTGCCAACAACAGCGACGGGGGCAAGCATCACATCGGGTCATCTGTCATTGTACGACTTAGCCCTCGTCACATCGGGTCACCTGTCTTTGTACAACTTAGCTCTCATCACATCACTGCAGCTCTCACTGTATCATCTAATATTCTAAGCTATCATCACATCACCACTGCTATCATTGTATCATCTGAGCCAACATCACATCACTACAGCTCTCACTGTATCATCTTATCTAAGCCATCATCACATCACTACAGCTCTCACTGTATCATCTGAGCCATCATCAAATCACTACAGCTATCACTGTGTATCATCTAATATTCTAAGCTATCATCACATCACCACTGCTATCACTGTATCATCTTAGCCATCATCACATCACTACAGCTATCACTGTATCATCTGAGCCGTCATCACATCACTGCAGCTATCACTATCATCTGAGCCATCATCACATCACCACTGCTATCACTGTATCATCTAAGCCATCATCATATCACTACAGCTCTCACTGTATCATCTTATCTAAGCTATCATCACATCACTTCAGCTCTCACTGTATCATCTAATATACTAAGCTATTGTCGCATCACCACTGCTATCACTGTATCATCTAAGCCATCATCACATCACTACAGCTCTCACTGTATCATCTTATCTAAGCTATCATCACATCACTACAGCTCTCACTGTATCATCTAATATACTAAGCTATTGTCGCATCACCGCTGCTATCACTGTATCATCTAAGCTATTGTCGTATCTAGTCAGCTGTCATGGGATCGTGGGTGGTTGGCGGGTGCTCTGGTGTGGTTTGCTTCTTTTTTCCAATCAAACATCTATCATCTTAATCTCCCCTACTTGTTTTGTGTGTTTGTTACTCTCTTATTGTAACATCTCTATTCTTCGGCACTTATATGACTTTATTGTGTTGCAAGTGCTGTAAAACTCTTACTAAAACTAAACGAGCATGGGATCACATGTAGTGATGGTCCTGCCACTCTTTGGCCTGGTCGTGTCATCTGCTACTGCGTGTTGTGGGGGAGTTCTACTTGTGGGTGGTTGGCGGGTGCTCTGGTGTGGTTTGCTTCTTCTGTCCTGTCAAACGTCTATCGTCTTTATCTCCCCTCCTTTTTTGTGTTTGTTACTCTCTTGTAACACCTCTAATCTTCGGCACCTATATGACCTTATTGTGTTGCAAGTGCCGTAAAACTCTTACTAAAACTTTAAAAAAAGGAGTTCTACATATTGTGTTGCACAAGTGCTGGTGGAGAGACTGTCCACGTCTGAATACAGCTGTGGAGTTCCGTTTTCTAGTTTTTGTGGGTGTATCGCTTTCTAGTTTTTGTGGGTTTATCGCTTCGTTGTGAGCAGATGATTGGAAGATGCCCCTCGAAAGTCTGGCTTTTTTTTTTTACTATCTTTTCTCTTGTCTGTCTTAGTTTTTGCCTACAGAAAATGAGTATTATTGTGCTGATGTGCTGGTTTTACTCAAAATAAATAAAGCTGAAGCTTTGTCTCTTGAAAAGAACAGGTAGACATTCTCCCCCACCAAAAAAACCCCCAAGGCCCCCCCCCCCCCCCCCCCCATACATACACAAACACACACTTTCACGCATACACGCACACAAACATACTCATACACACAACTTTGAGAGAGAAAGTAAAACCTGTGGAATGTCTCCCCTCAGTGCACGCCTGTGGAGAGCAAGGGGTTCCGGACGGGCTACTACAAATGCGAATGTCGCCAGGGCTTTGAGTACACGTTCAACGACCTCAACTGGTACTTTGACGGGCAGCAGATGGAGAAGGAGTATAAAATGAAGATGCAGAATGAGCCGAATAGGTGAGTGTTGTCCTGTGTGTGACTAGATGATTGTGCATTATCGCATCCGCAGTGGGGTTAGAATAAGTCTCAGAATGAATCTATTTGTATAGTTGGCCTGCGTTATATGTTTTTTTTTTGTAATCCAAGATTTTGTTGCAAAAACGTGTGCAGCTGATATAGCATAAGCTGATATTCATTGTTCCTTTTTAAAAAAATCCCTTCAAACAGTTATAGCTCTACTGACCTAAGCTACTTTTGACCTTTTGACCTTTTCTATCAAGCATCGATCATCCATATTTCTCCCTTCTTTTTTTTTTGTTTTTGTATGTTACTCTCCAGTTACGCCTCTAATCTTCAGCACCTATACAATATGAACTGTTTGTGTTTTGAGTGCTGTAAAACTCTGTAAGTAAAACTAAAACTATACTGTTTTCTTTTTAAAAGTTCTGTAAAACTCTATATAAGTAAAACTCACACTAAACCATATTCTACCCCCCCCCCCCCCCCCGGCAGTGTCACTGACTGTAGTGTCTTTAGGCCTTTCCCAAAGGGGGGACATTTCTCGTTCAAGCACAGTAGAATTGTAAATGGGCTGACTCATGTCACGCTCATAACTGTGCCTGATCTACAATAGGGAACTGCTGCTTTTTCTTTCCTGATCCTTACTATTGTCATTTTCGTCTACTACTTTTTTTGTATGTTTGTCACTCTCTTGTGACCTGCTATTTCCGGGGTGCCTTGATAGTTGAAGCAGACCTTGTGCTGTTGAAGCTAGAGAGGTGAGCAGTCTAAGTCTGATTCCCTGTAAAGACTTCTCTGTTGACACCCACCTCTTGGCGCTCATATGACCTTATGCAGTTGCGAGCGCCATAAAACCCTGTACTATAAAAAACAAACAAACCCATTTTCTTTTTATAAGTGGTGTAAAACTCTATAAGTAAAACTAAAACTAAACCATTTTCTTTTTACAAGTGCTGTAAAACTCTATAAGTCAAACTAAAACTAAACCATTTTCTTTTTACAAGTGCTGTAAAACTCTATAAGTAAAACTAAAACTAAACCATTTTCTTTTTACAAGTGCTGTAAAACTCTATAAGTAAAACTAAAACAAAACTATTTTCTCCACCCCCAGGTTTGACAGCCTGAAGTGCCGTATAGCAGGGGCCTCAGCGGCCTCTTCCAGCGCCGTCCTCATCACCTTGTTGCTGGCTCTCTCCACATTGTGGCGATAGGAGACACATCTGTCGACCTCTGTCCCTTTGACTTTGACGTGTGTGTGTGTGTGTGTGTGTGTGTGTGTGTGTGTGTGTGAGAATGTGTGTGTGTGTGTATGATTTTGAATGTGAATGTGACTTTGTCCATGGAAGAATGCCCGCATGTGTATTCATATGTGTGTAAGTGCAGATGTGTTACAATGACTTGTTTTATGTTACTTTCTATCCACATCTATATTTGCATAAGTACTTTGAGTATTAGAATGCAGTTTTTGTACAAAGTGTCCTTATTCTGTTGTCCTGAAGACTGGCTTTTTTCTTATCTAGCAAACCGTTCCCTCTTACTTCTACTGACAGTCTTTCTCTCTCGAGAAGCACATTTTGGATAGAAAGATATAGTTCTTTCTCCGTTAACAATGTGTTCTGTAGCGACTTGTTTATTCTGTCCATCTACCCAATTTTCAGGGAACGACTGACTGTAAGGCTCTCCCACCTTTATCAATATTAGGTCATAGTGTAAGCTTTTTATAGCAACAAGCTACTTCCCTGCATGGAATTGTGCATGACATAGATGAATTGCTTCGCCTCGGAACTTTAGGTTGTGTGATGGGAAAAATGTGGGAATTGTAATATGTGCGTATGCCTGGAGAAAGGTCCCAGTTGTTGGTAATTTTACATTCTAAGTTAAAAACATCACCACCATCATCATCATCATCATTGCCTTTCTCACCCTGCGTAGTGGGTGGTTGGCGGGTGCTCTGGTGTGGTTTGCTTCTTCTTTCCTTTCAAAAGCAATCGTCTTTATCTCACCTCCTTCTTTTTTTTTTGTTTGTTACTCTCTTGTAACACCTCTAATCTTCGGCTCATATATGACCCCTTTGTGTTGCAAGTGTTGTAAAACACTTACTAAAATATAATCAAGGTATAGGCCACGAATAAACACTTTCCACCCCCCTCCCTGTCCTGGACTAGCAGCCTCTTGATATTATTCCATGTCTTCCCACTCTTCTCCTGGTTCCACATGGCCTTCCCCTAATTGATCTCTTGCCTTATGGATTCCAATCCAACACTTTCTTTGTTATGCAGCTGCCTGACTTCCTGAAAGCATGTCCAATCTGTTGCCACCGCCTTCTTACCCCTTCATCTCTGACTGGGCTAGTTAAGGACTTATTCTTGTAAAAAATTTAATTTAAAGAAGCTGATTTCTAAATGCTTTGAATATCTTGAATAGTTTAAAAGATATTCCAGATTTTGTTGGACAAGTTGTAAAACCGAAGTTTTGAACCCCCCCCCCCCCCCCCCCCCAAGAAAAGAGCATTGCATTGGCTGCACTACGATAAAGATGCACAATATCGATGGTTGCTGGAGGGTTGGGTGTGTTCATAGGCACAGCAACTGACTGTGATGGGGAGATTGTGCCGACTACTTTGGTCTACAACATTGATTAGGGAAAAGTGCTGACATGAAACCAAAGTAACAGAAGCATCTTGACCTATAACTTTATAGGGTTTGATCAGGGAAAAGTGCCGACCTGAAACCAAAGTAACAGAAGCATCTTGACCTATAACTTTATAGGGTTTGATCAGGGTAAAGTGCCGACATGAAACCAAAGTAACGGAAGCATCTTGACCTATAACATTATAGGGTTTGATCGGGGAAAAGTGCCGACATGAAACCAAAGTAATAGAAGCATCCTGGTCTAATTTCAAGCACTTTTTAAACACTCTGTAACGTGTAATGTGTTGTGGAGAAATACATAATTGAACAATTTAAACTCCCAGTTTTGGGAAAAAGCCCTTTTAAATACATTATTTAGGATTCACTAAGCGTACTTTTTCTGAGGGACCTACATTTTGGCAGCACACGACTCTTTTCTCACCTTTTCACCTCCTAGTTAAAAGAATAGTTGTGCTGACAGCTGGGACCTTTCTCCAGGCATACACACATTCCCCAAATGGCATGTTTTACAAAAGTATATAGTTTTATCTGAAAGTTTGATTAGTTAGTATTACCTTGAATTTCATGTTGTTTGCACCTACATAGATCATATATAGCTTTGAAAATGTTCTTTCTGGGAATACAGAAGCTATTTATTAAGGCAATCTAGACAGAAATTGTTTTTAAAAAAGAGCTACGATGTAACATAACACTTACATAATCATATCAAACGTTTTTTTTACAAGTTCATCTTTCCCTCATTCATGAAGGATATTTTTATACTATCTGTGTACATATCTTTACCTGGCTCAACTGTATATATAAATATGTGTAGTCCATTAATTTCGGCTTTCATTCAAATTACCTTCCCATGATGAAGAGCAGTAAGAAATCATTGTGATCTGATGTGAGATGTAATTATTCTTCTGATCTCGTGAACGTCTTTTACTCATTACTTTTATGTTGTGAAAATCTGGCAGCCATTGGAGTGGAGCTCAGAACTGAGCATACAGTCTCCCTAGTTTGTTATGGTCTATGGTTATTGGTTGTGGTTGTGAGTTGTTGATGTTACCAGAGTTCTTTACACATTCCATGGTATTCTCACGCAAAAAAAAAAAAATGTGGAAAGTTTATACTCTTCTGTCATTTACACAAGTTGTAACCATGTCGTTTTTACAAGCTGCTTTGGTTTACTTCACTTTTACGAACCCTTCGAATAGTCGCTTTTGTGGGTCCAAATATGTGAAGCTCAACAGTAATGGAGGGCGATATAGGAGAAAGATGAAAAAACGTGTAACATAAAATAAACAATTTTTGACCATGTCGTGCAGTTGCGAGTGACATATATATATATATATATATATATACATCAATACCCAAAAGCACTATTTATGTTGTGAACATTCCAATTAAGCTATGGGAGCAAATTGAGCTTGTAGTGCCATTGAGTGATTTATGTGTATCTGGTTCAGTCATGGTTTTTGCTATACAATATTTCCACAGTCCAAAGTTTTGTGAAGTTAATATACAGTACAGAGTTGTGCTTTTGGCAGATTTTTATGCTTTTCCGTCTTTTCCCTTTGTGAAAGGTCATATAAGTGTGTTTGTTTCTACAGTCTCTTTTTGGATGAGCCAGTGAGATGTGCCTGATTGTATGAGGCTAATAATAATAAGCTTTGTGGTATGTTTGATGTATGAAAGAAAATCTCTTGCGATTGATTGAGAGGTGAATGAAAAAGTTCTTTTGTACATAGAGAAGGGAAGACACATGTTGTGCCAGTGAAGTGAAAATGATGATTCCGGAAAGAGTGACGAAAATTTTCATTTTACACCTCTCATATTATATTCTTGTGCCAATTTTAGTTAGTGAACCTCCGTCATAGAACTTTAAAAAATCAGTTTTTCAGACATTTTCATTGTCTATTTGATTTTTTAACTGTTGATCAATTTGATTTAAATGCCTTATGTGGATCATTTGGTTCTTGTTCAGTTTTTAAAGATGTACGTTGTCTTATTTAGCTCTGTTATTTAGACCTGGCTCTGCTAGTGATGTGAAACCAAAACACTGAATAAAAAGAGCAGTTTAAAAATGTTTTAATCTTCAATGCTTTATGCTACCGCAAAGTTTACTAATTTTGAAAAGCTAAATATTAAGCTTTGAGCAGTTTGCAAATGATTTCTTGGTTTGTATAAAGTAAATTTTTATAAAAGTTTTTGTTTTTTTCAATATTTTTTTCTGTTTTGTAAAATGGTTTTTGATAATTTTCATTCTGTATTTGTGGCCAGAGTCTAGCTGTTGACATTTAAATAGCAACTTCATATCATTTTTTCTTAAAAATTTTTTTATATCATAGACCAGGTAAAATTCTGTTTTACTCTCCTCTTTCACTGTACAAAAACTTGTAATTTCTATTCTGTGAACAAAAATAAAAATTTCATAATATTCAACTGACTTTGTGAGATTACTGTTTATATTTCTGTGGAAGAAATTTGTGTTCCGTACTTCACTGAGTTTAATGGTTGCTGTTTTTCAACTTTGACTTTATTTTCCTCATCCTTACTATCGTCATTTTTCCTGCACTTCTTTTGTATGTTTGTCATTCTCTTGTGAACTGCTATTTCCGGGGTGCATTGATATAGAGAGGTGAGCAGAGTAAGCCTGATTCCCTGTTTGGACTTCCCTGTTGACATCCACCTCTTGGCGCTCATATAACCTAATGCAGTTGTGAGCACCATGAAACCTTACTAAAACTAAGGAATTTTGACTTTCAAATGTTGAAAACATGTTACATTTTCTTGTGTATTTCCCTTTCTTTTACCCACACATCATACTACGTGGGTGGTTGGTGGGTGCTCTGGTGTGGTTTGCTCCTTCTTTCCTGTCAAAGACTTCTCTGTACTGTTGACACCCACCCCTTGGCGCTCATATGACCTTATGCAGTTGCGAGCGCCGTAAAACCCTCTACTATAATTTAAAAAATCTATCGTTCTCATCTCCCCTTCTTTTTTAAAATGTTTGTTACTCTCTTGTATCACCTTATCTTCTGGCGCTAATATGACCTTATGCAGTTGCAAGCGCCGTAAAACGCTCTACTAAAACTATTTTTAAAAACCAACGCCGTACGTACACTCCTAGATACATGTGCTGAAGTACAAAAGGACACAAGGCATACATCTTTCATAGGCAGTCTGTTTCACTGTAACTTGTATCTGTCATATTGTGACAAAGTCTCATGGGCTCTCACTGTAATGATATAACAGGATTTTGATCAAACTTCCTGGTGCCTGCAGCATTAGAAACTTGTGTATTTAGCTTTTCCTAGGTAAAAAGTTACCTTCTTTTTTCATCACGGCAGTCATACTGGCACCACTGTTCTATTCTATGTCAGTTAAAGGCAGCCAGGTAGGAGGCTGGAGGGCGCCACTGGTAGGTCCTACTTCTTTACTTTCCCCTCTGTTGTTTCTGTCTGTCTGTCTGTCTTACTTTTCCCCTGCACTAAATGACCATTATTGTGTCGATGTGCTTCTCTTTACTCAAGCAAAACAAAGGCAGCTCGTGGACAGAAACTGTATGGGTGGTTGGCGGGTGCTCTGGTGTGGTTTGCTTCTTCTTTCTTATCAAACATCTATCGTCCTTATCTCCCCTCCTTCTTTTTTGTGTTTGTTACTCTTTTGTAACACCTCTAATCTTCAGCACTTATATGACCGTATTGTGTTGCAAGTGCTGTAAAACACTTACTAAAAACAGAAACTGTTGTCTATGTCTCAAATTTTGTCTTTTTTTGCATTGCAAGCAACTTCTACTGTTTAAAAATATGGCACCTAGTTTCTCTTGTCATTGTGGGTGGTTGGGGGGGACCACTGATAGGTCTTACCTCTTCCCTTCCCCTTTGTAGTTTCTGTCTATCTTTCTTTTTTTTTTTTTTACACTAGTGTGCTGATATGTTCCTCTTTCATCTCAATCTTGAGGATGTTTTCCTGCCTCTCACGGGTGTCTGTCGTGTAGTGGTTAGGTGCTTCGCTGTTGCATGCAGGGGACCTAAATTGGATTCCTGAGTTGAGAGAAAAATTGTATCGAGTATCTCGGCCTTTCTGCTGGGATGTTGTAACTAACCCTCTTAGTCCAGATTGGTGGTCGTAGGCCTTTCTCGTAAATAATCTGAGTTGTCG